CCATTGTGGCTAATTGGGAAATGAACCAGTGGATGGAAGATCTTTCTCTCCCCCTCCTTCTCTCTGCATATCTGTCTTTTCAATTAAAAAAAAATTATTTCCATGAAACAAAAAGAACTGAGAAATTACTCCTGATTATAGACAATGCAATGTAGTGTGTGATCGTGGATTTGATCCTGGTATTAGGGTAAAGTGAGCTGAAGTGTTCATGCAGAAATGCATGTTATCAGAAAGTGTGGGTTTCAAAATTGGTTGCACCACAAGAAACTCATCAGTGAACTCTGTTTGCCAGAGTTTTTAAAGTTGCTTAAGAACATGTTGCGTTTTTTAAAAAAATGCAAGCTAAAGTACTTCAATTTCAAGGGGCTTGGTATCTGTAATTCGCTCTCAAAATACTTCAGGAAACAATTGTGGAGACCTGTGAAGCACTCAGGGCAAAATTCTAGTAACAGGTCAGTGTAAATGAAAGGCCTATAAAAATATTATATGTTTCCCACAGTTCTTCTCTGAGTTAGGAAATTAACAGAAGAGCTTTAGATAATAGACAGTAACCTAACATTGCTTTTATGACTTTAACCAGGTGTGACCTGCCTTAGCAGTGCCTACTTTCCGTTGTCTAATTGTGTAGTCCATGGAAGTGGACGGTACCTGGCATTCAGGATGCCTGTCTCAGATCGGATACTTGGGAAGTTATTTGTGGAAATCAAAAAGATACCATGAGGAGGGTAACTACATTATTGATGTCACTGGGACTCTGATGTCCATCTGTGATGGTCCACCTCCCTGCACCCCACTGCATTACAGGGCATTACTGGGCTGTGAACAACTGTGACTCCATCTTAAACTCCTACTGACCCAAGCCCTGCCCCCACGAGCAACAACTCTAAGAGCACAGCTTTGTGGTTCTCACCAACCGTATCCACATCAACCTCCACCCTGACAGCTGCTGTTTCACTTCCATAGACAGCTGTGCGGCTCCCACTTGCACTGTCTGTGCTCATAGCTCAGAAACTGTGTCCTGTTTTTCGGGGCCTTATCTTATTCTTACTGCCCAGGATGTGGTTTTAGCATTTAAAACCCCTTTCCATTAAAGGCTTGGCGAAGTAGTATTCAGCGTCTTGCTGGGGCTGCTGTCGCTGGCCAGCATATAAAGGCTCTCCGCTTTACCGTCTTTTGTGTCTGGATTAACATCTTTATGTCTGGTGTGGTCTCTGATGGACCTTGTAACATCTATTGGTATCACTGCAGCGTAGCTTACTTAGGAATATGGGACACAATCTTGCGTGAGTGAGCCCTGTCAATCAGGTCCTGCCACGATAAAGGCTCACTGACCAGGTGGCCTTGGTACCAAATCTTTGGAAACTTTCCCAGAACTTAATAGCATTCTTCTGCTCCAGGACACTTTGATTCTTAAAACTATCTGAATGTGTTGGAGCAAAGCAATGATCAAGTTCACTGAACACTCAATCACAAGTCCTCTGTTTGTGGCACCCCATGACCTCCTCTTAGCTAACACCAGCCAGTTTTTGAAATTAAAGGGCACTTACTAAGAACTAATCTGATGAAGACTATGAGGTCCCTGATGTCAGAATCGCTGTACCCAAAACCTCTTTAAAGTGTATGACAGGCCACTGGAATCTTGTGAACTTCACTGGCATTAAACTGGAAACAAAACCCTTAGGATTATTAGAAGAGAGAAGCCATGAACTGTATGAGGTTGTGACTGCAAAAGTTCACTAGGCAAAATTCTTCCACTACAAGACAGGCAAGCAAGAACATGTGTAGGTGTGAAGCCATGAGTTATTCAAGTTAGCCAGATTTTGGTTCAAATTCTGGCACCTTCTTGAGCAACCTATGTGAACTAGAGGCAAATCACAGAATTTCTCTGACAGAGCAATTTCTTCTCTTAATTAATAATAGGGATAATAATTCCTTCCTTGTAAGATGACCACGAGGGTCCACCAGTGCCCACTGCCATGGAAGACGTGGCTCAATAAATGGTAGTGCTTGTTGTCTTAACCCAAAGCGAGCAGAAGCTGTTTCTAAGAGGGATTTTAATCACGTCTCTTCCACAAACACAGAACTCCCTGAAGGCCTAGTAACCACAAATGAAGCCTTAACTGAAAGACAGTAAAGCCTTTGACAGGGACAGAGTTAAAGTCGGGTCTGTCCTTTCATGAGGGGGCACAAAGAAGCCATTAGTTAACTCAGTAACTCTGTGCTCTGTAAATCGGCTCAAACACGGTCAGAGACCCCTGGGAGGCAGCACGTGCATATGGTTCCCAAGAGGGCAAGTTACAAGAAGGACTCTACCAGGAGCATTCAGGGAGTCCAGGAGATCCCAGGTAGCTGAGAGATTATAGATGACCCAGGTCTGCGTATAGCGAGATTGGAAATATCTGGGACAGACTGCTGTCTGGACTCTATTACTGCATGGATGTTGGAGGAGGAAGACTAGAAATCTGAGTATCTTCCTTTCTGGGTTCAAATCCTCTAGCCTACATTCAGTATGTCTGGATTGAACATCTGGTCAGATCACACACCGAGTGTGGACTCTGGGGGGGCTCATGTCACAGAGCGCACTCCGTGACATCAGGCGCAATAACAACTGCTCTGCAGTCTTGTTCCAGGAGTGCAGCATGCAGAGGGTTCTTGTGCTAGAGGTTACTCAGCAAGCCTCTGTTCTCCTGGACACTGAGTGTCCAGGGGCCTTCGATAAGAGATCCCGTTCGTCCTCCGCCACTGAAAGCCAAGCTGGTACTAGCGTACTGAAGGATGAAGACATCAGTGTAACCCACTGAAGAGCTTGGCTCATCCCCAGGGAGTGGAGTTGAAGGAATGGATGTTCTTTGTAGTTACTTCTGCCCAAATGGCTGCGGCTCCCCACACAGTGCCCAGTGCAGGCCAGAAGCAATTCATGCCGCTGGCTATGCAGAACAGCCTCCACTGGGCTGGCAGCCTCTGCGTTGAACTTGGGCACCAGCCAATGTCTGAATGTTAGCCTTAAGTGAGATCTGCTTATTGTGTCAGGTGTCTGTCTTTGGGGAAAAGAGGGTTCCCTCTTGTTGGGGGAGGAGTGTCAGTCTCTGGCTTTGGTAAATTCAGTGTGTGCCAAAGGACACGGACTTTTATACCCATTGTCTCAGAGCAATTAGCACCTTCTTTCCTTTTTAGAAGTGACCCAGTTTGGATGACAGATTATATGGTGACTAGCTGTGCCCATAAAAATGCAAGTGAAAGCAACGTGGCTGGGCCTGAGTGAGAGGCCAAAAAGAATCAGACAAGAGCTGCAGGGAATAAAAATTTGATTTTCAACAGGGAGATACCAGGGCTACCAGTAGATTTTCCCTTGGCTCCAGTAGTTAGTATGACTATCTCAAAAACTGCTATCAGTGTATCTATTAATATTTGTCCTACGTAAGGAAGAAAGTTTCTGGGTGTATGTGGAGGGAGAAGGCAGTGTTGTCTGCTGGTAACTAGCTCACAACCACTCAAAAGCTCCTGAGGGATAGCAGGGCTCAGCGGACGTGGGAACTGTAAAGAGACTGGCATAGCTCATTCTTGTGAGTCTGCAGGGGACTTCAACGTGTATTCTGAAACAATTTTATCATCTTTTACTGTCTGGTGATACACCTATGTGCATTCTTTCTCTTACACAAACACACACATCTATGTATATACCGAATGTATCTTTGGTCCTCACTGTAAGTTTCCTGATTTTTGTGTAAATTTCAGCGATGCAGCAATCTGACCATATAACCCAGAGTGGTCTCATAGATCGGGTCCTTGTGGGGCTCCACACCAACTACATGGATGTTGGCTTGCCAGCACATGAATATGATTTACCTGGCTAGCCCATGGCTGGCTTGCGATAGCAGCTAGCATCAGTGTCGAGGCAGAAGTGAAATGAAAATCTTGAAAATGGTTTCAGAAAGAGGATGAAGTGAGATCTAAACTCAGACAAAGAGAGGAACAGAAAAAAGGTTGGAGTGATAAGAAAGCTAGCGTGGAGGAGGAACAAGTGTGAAGGGGCAGTTTTGGAACGCTGCTCTTGTTTTCTATGCCAAAGTGTGCCTCGGTAGCATCTCACACGAGCGGGAGAGGACTGGAGGAAGAAACAGTCTGTACTTCCATTTATTTGCTGCAGCTTTTGCTGGTCACATTGCAACTGAATACAAACAGCCCAGCAGAAGGTAGGGCGATAACCCCTGTTCTCATCAATGTAAACACAACATTAATATTGAAGATTCAAGAAAAGTGGGCACAAAGTCCAGTGTCTCCTCACTCTGGGACGGTGAAGGTGCTTGTCTCCCCCTGGCCAGCTCCCAGGGGGAGGTTGAGGTTGTCACCTGCTCCCATCCACAGGGGAGCGGGCAAGAACGCAGGGGAGTCGGCCACGTTCTTTCCGTACATCTCCGCATGGACACGTCCATCTCAGGAGTAGACTCCTGGGAACTCAAGTTCTTCTAAAGGCCCGAGAGGTTTGTAGCTTCTGGGTGCACCAGAATCATTCTGTCAAAGCCCTTTGCCCATGAATCCATTTCTGCCAATAGAAAAACGTGACGGGTGTACTAGAGTTAGCCCTCCTGGGTCTGCAGTCCCTGGATTCTGCAGAGCAGGGAGATCCCAGTCATGGTAGCCTTGGTGACAATCCTGGAGGGAGCCACGTGGGTGGGAAGCAGCTGCAGGCTCTGGTTCTCCTTGTGGGGCTGCTGTTCAGGGCACGTGGGATGACACGGTGGATTATCTTCCTTTAGAGCCTTCATGGATCAGATTTTCTGTTTTGGATTTCCCGAACCCAAACCAACCAAAGAAAATCCCTCCAGAAAAACAAATCAAAACAAGAGTGACTTAGAGGATAAAAAAAAAAAAAAAAAAAAAAAAACACACCCCACCTCCAGCTCCCTCCAGAGGCAACGTCTTGTTGGTTCACACCACTGGTTTGCCCTCCCCTGCATACTGAGCTATGCTGCAGGGCACAGAAGAGAGCTTCCACAGAATGGAGAGACCATTTTGCTTTTATTTCCTGGGATGACTACTGCCCCAGCAAACTCCCCTTTCTCCCCAACTATGTTGGGACCCTTAATGATTAAAACATAGCGAGAACATTCTTAAAGCTCTGCTTCGGTTTGTGATTTTGTGGCAAGACAATGATCCCTACTTCCTCTCATCCCCAGGTCCCATTCTTGAAGAGATACAGGTCGGTGGTTCATTTTTCTCCACTCTGGAACTGCTGGGTCCTGAGGCAGAAACAGATGGACTGGATCCTTGTCCAAGACCTCAGATGTAAGGGCGGTTTTGTTGGGCCTTAGAGACAAAGCAAAACAACCCCTCCAAAAAACCACTGCTCAGTTTTGCATCTGGGCCCCAGTCGGCGAGCAGCTCTCTCCCTGCAGTGTGTGTCTCTCCCGTGGGCACATCCTGGTGCTAGCTGTTGTTCTCGGCCGTGAGATATTTCAGGGCAGCAAAGCCGTAGCGGCGGGACATGTCCTGCTGGAACTCCTCCTTCAGGGTTTTGAGACAGATGCGATATTGCTTGTTGGAACGGAACTTGGTGATGTCGAAGCTGGGTGCGTGAGGCATGTGGATCATGTAGGCATTGGGCAGCACAATGAATTCGTATTCCTGGAAGAAGACAGGGGACAGAGTCAAATCTCATGAGAGCCCTTGGTATGCAGGGTGAAGGCATATGTGACAGACTGGGCGAATGAATTGGAGAATGCTACCAGCAAGAAGAGCAGCACACAGATGGCCTGCTAGCTTTAGACTGGGACACTCCAGGGCTGTCTTTGTGACCCTGGATAACCAGGCTCGGCTTTTCTATGCCTTCATTTTCTCATGTAGAAAGGGATAGTAATGGCAGTAATGATATCCACCTTGAGGGCTGACCATGAGGTTGGAGCAAGGCCTGGACAGTGCTGAACAGAGCTCCTGGCCTACAAGAGGCTATCGGTCACTGGGAGCTCACACCGACGCAGTTGGGGTGACACACACCACGGGATATTTTCTTGCCCAGTGAACTTGATGTCTGGGGACATAGTTTCACATAGGACTTGGGGTGGTTTGACAATGCAACAGGTGAGTACAAAAGAGAGGAGGATCACAGAATGAGACACAAGGTGAAAACACAAATGTGACACTGAGTTGGAGTTCATCCAGCGCAATGCTGTCTGCTGCTGGGCATCCTTACTCTAGGTCACATTATCAGGTGGGGAATGACTCGGCCTAGCAGAAAACTTCTAAAAAACCAGACCAAAGATGAAGGCATTAGAACACACAAAAGAGGTAACCCAAATTCAGGACATGTAACTCAGAGAACCCAGCACCCCTTTCATACAATAGATTTATTCGGGATTTGGACAGCTTGGATGATCTTGTTATCACTGAACATAAGAGAACAAACTCCAAGGGGAGGGAGGATGGTCAGGGGACAGCAGTTGTTACAGACCTAATACAGACAGAAGTAAGAATTAACAGCTGCCAGTAAGGAGTGAGAAAATCCATGTAAAGAAAATGAAAGAACTCCCAAGAACTTAGCCATTTGCAAGATCTTACGTAGAGGTGCAGGGCCCTCCCTGTCCCTGCCTTGGGAGTGGCTGTACTAGCTGTGCATTCCTTCCCTAAGTCACGGGCAAGGGTGAAACTACGCAGGGCAAATGCTATGGGCAAACAAAGGAAAACACACAACCTGTGTCCAAGATAAACAAAGCCCAGGTCTCCGTGCTGCAAATGTTAGCTTTCTTTAAACAAGTTCTACTTCTCAACACACAAACCTGACCCTCTTTTAAGCCGACACCGGTGAAACCCTGCCATCTGTAGGAAATCACCGGGCTCCCTCCACGTACTACTGAAAATACAGATGTGAAAGACCATGGTTTCCTCTGCTAAGATGGGCACAGTCCTACAACCTTGTGCCGTTATGACTTCTCTCAACATGCGGCCATGGCTGGGACGCTTCCTGATGACTCTCAGGAAGGTCAATGGTGGACATCCAGTCTCACGGTCGCTGCACGCACAGTGTTCCTGGGGAGAGTGCAGCACCTCAACTCATGCAAGGGGGCAGGAAAGGGCAATGCTTGGGACCACTGGCCCTAGATCATCCATCTAGCCACAGTCTCACATTAGAGCCCTCAAAATCTGTGGCTCCCTCTTAGGTCTCTTTGGCTCTAAGACTTGGTCCCCCTTCTTCCTGCCCCAGCACCACGTGGGCATTCTGCTGTGCTCACCTGTGCATCCAGTTCCATGATATGAGCCACTTTGTTCCAGCCGAAGCCCACAAACCTCCGGTCATACTCAGGGCAGTCACGTCGCACGACAACATACGGCTCAAAGTCAGCTTCCCACTCAACCCGGTAAGGCGTAGTGGCAGTCCGCCACTTGGCGAAGTTTGTAGGTGCGTGGCCTTTTGTCCAGACATGGTACCTAGGACACATGGATAAAAACCATTGGGTGGAGGGAAGGAAGCTGAGCCTTCCAAATACTGCCGATGTGGGGGATGAAGACACGTGTGTAGCTGGAGTCCTTGTGGCAGGTTGGCAAGTGTTCTCTTAAATGCTATGCTTGAATTCTAGCCTCCAGTATCTCTAAATGGGAATATGGTATTTGCAGATGTAATTAAGCTGAGATCACAGTCTATCAGGGACCATCTTAATCCAATAGCTATATATGAAGCAGGGTATTTGGATTTAGATACATCAGGACAGGTAGAGATGGAAATGACGGTGCAAATGTCAAACGTCGCTAACCAGAAAGCAGCAAGGAGGGATTCTTCCCCAGAACCTACAGAGGAAGCATGGATCAGCCGACACCCTGACTTTGGATTTTTGCCCTGCAGATCATTGCAGAATAAATTCCTGTGGTGTTAGGCTACCTAGTTTGCTGCATCTTGTTTAGGCAGCACTGGGAAGCTAGTGCAGTCTAATGTCTTCATCCTTTGATGACAAGCAGATTCTTAAAAGGAAAAGCAAGTGAACTCCCTGGGTGCCCTGTGGCTTATATGGAACCACCTGCAGGTTGACCTGCAGGCTCGTTCTTCTGGCCGGAGACCACTGAGGCAACGAGTTGTTTATAGTGACCCTTGTCCTGGCTTAATATTCTTCCCCTTGAGGCAGAGCCTGTAGGATATCACTGCTGGGATGATGTGACACAAGAATTGCTGTAGACAAAATTAAGATGGCTAATAAGATGATGTTGGATTAATTAAAAGGGAGATGAATTGTGTAAGCCTGACTTACACCTTCTGACCTCAATTAAAGAGAAAGCAAATAGCCACATCATGACCTAACCACAGGGGCTTTGGCCTAGGTGCTGGGAGGTGAGAGTGGTCTTTGCTCAAAAGTCAGAAGGCAATGGAGCTTGACCTATGGCACAGCAAGTTAAGCTGCCATCTCCCATGCATGATTTGTGTACTGGTTTGAGTCCTGGCTGCTCCACATCCAATCCAGTTTCCTGCTAAAGCATCTTGGAAAGCAGCCCAGGATAGGCAAAATCCATGGGCCCCCACCACCTGTGTGGAAGAATTGGATGGAATTCTTGGCTCCTGGCTTCTGCCTGGTCTAGCTCTGGATGTTGTGGACATCTGGGGAGTAAACTGGTGGATGGAAGACTTCTCTGTCCCTTCCCCTCTTGCTATAATGTTGCAAATAAATAAATGTTTAGGAAGGAAGGAAGGAAGGAAGGAAGGAAGGAAGGAAGGAAGGAAGGAAGGAAGGAAGGAAGGAAGGAAGAAAGGAAGGAAGAAAGGAAGGGGGAAAGACAAGTAGGAGACCGAGTCCTACAACTTTAAGGTGAGGAATTCTTGCAGATCAGGGAGTGGGGAGAGGACCACACATACTAAGATGTGTAGCATGGTTGTCAACTTGAATTCAGCTCATGAAGTCTCAAGCAGAGAAGCCAGCAGAGACCTCCAGGCCAGACATGATAGGATCAAAAACTTAGGTTGTTTTGAGTAGTTCTGTTTGTAGTCATTTGTTACACAATGATAAAAAATGAAAACAACTACGTACTTAGGGGGAAAAATTAATTATTAGCCCACTTAGTGTGTATTAGAAATAATTTAGGGGCTGACACTGTGGCATAGTGAGTAAAGCTGCCATCTGCAGCCATCGGCTTCCCATACAGGCACTGGTCTGAGTCCCAGCTGCTCCATTTCTGACCCAGTTCCCTGCTAATGACCTGGGGGAAGTAGTGGAGGGTGGCTCAGGTGTCTGGACCCCTGCTAATTGTGCAGGAAATCCAGAAGCAGCTCCTGGCTTCCAGCTTCTGCCTGCCAATGCTGCCATTTGGGGAGCAAACCAATAGGTGGAAGATCTCTTTCTCTGTAACTATGTTGTTCAAATAAATAAGTATTCAAACAAAGATTTATTTGTTTTTATTGGAAAGTCAGATACACAGACAGAAGGAGAGACAGAGACAAAGATCTTCCATCTGTTCATTCACTCCCAAAGCAGCTGCAATGGCCAGAGCTGCGCCGATTCAAAGACAGGAGCCAGAAGCTTCTTTCAAGTCTCCCACACGGGTGCAGGGTCCCACAGCTTTTGGGCCATTCTCGACTGCTTTCCCAGGCTACAAGTAGGAAACTGGATGGGGAATGGGACAGCTGGGATATGAACCAGTGTCCATATGGTATCCCAGCACATGCAAGGTAAGGACTTTAGCTGCTAGGCTGCCACACTGGGCCCAGTAAGTATTTTTTTTTTTTTTTTTAATAAAGAGACTACTCTAAATGCTGAACATTCTTATAACTTACCCAAAGTCAAGTTACAAACAATAAGTGATAAGCTTAGATTCAATCTGGCTGCTTAACTCCAAGGTCAGGACTCTCATTCACTTGCTGCATTATTTCTTTTTCTTTTTTTAAAAAAGTTATTTATTTGAAAGGCAGAGCTACAGAGAAGAGAGAGAGTCATCAACAAAGAGATCTTTCATGTGCTGGTTCACTCCCCAACTGGCTGCAAAGGCCAGGACTGGGCCAGGCACAGGCTGAGTGCCAGGAGCTTCTTCCTGGTCTCTCATCTGATGCAGGGACTTAAGCAATCTGTCACTGCCTTCCGAACACATAGATGCCAGCAACTGCAGGGAGGTGGGACAGCCTGGACTGAAATAGGCATCCATAGGGGATGCCAGCACAGCAAGCAGCAGTTTCATATGTTATACCACAGAAAAAAAAATATTTTTTAAAAGGTAGAGTGATTGAGAAAGAAAGAGAGGAAGGAAGGAAGAAAGGGAGGAAGGAAAGGAAGAAAGAAGGAAGGAAGGAAGGAAGGAAGGAAGGAAGGAAGGAAGGAAGGAAGGAAGGAAGGAAGGAAGGAGAGAAGGAAGGAACTGATTTTCCATCTGCTGGTTCATTCCCCAGATGGGCTGCAATGGCTGGAACTAGGCCAGCCATCAGGAGCCAGAAATCCCATCTGGAATGGCAGACACCCAAGTACTTGGGCCATCACCTTCAACTGCTTTGCTAGCAAACTGCATGGGAGGTGAAGCAGCCAGGACTCTACTCAGTGCTCTGATGTGGAATGCCAGTATTGGAGGTGGCTGCTTAACTCTTGGTACCACAACACCAACCCTGGGGTTCCTTCTCTTGTTGTACGTCATGGTCCTCAGCACACGTTAGCCTGCTGAATGAGTACTCCATGACTCCACTCTAAGTTGAACAAACATATGAATGAATGAGTACTCAAAAGATGTTATGTTATTGTTACTGTATTTTGAGACAGACGCTGACTAGAGGCATAGGAACATGGTTTTGCAAATTGGGGAAACAGTGAAAGCTAGGAGTCCAGTAAGGTCATAGGCAGGGTCCAAGAAAACAGAGTAGGGCTAGAAAGAAAAGCTTCATGACATGAAAGACAGAAAGCATGGGAGCCCAATAGCTTAGCTCCTGGGAGAAAGGAATTCAGAATCCTGAGTTCCCTCTTCTTCCTGCGGAAGTCTCTGTGATGCAGGCCAGTGAGCAGGGCTCGCTGGCAGGGACTGTCACAGCTTCCTTTCTTGGCCCTTTCACACCAAGGCTGGACTTTCCTGGACCACAGGGACGCATAGGGTGTAGCTGAGCCAGCAGTGGCCAAGACTTCCGTTATTTGTATTGTTGGTGAGATGGCCAAGCTAAAGAGAAAAAAATGCTATCAGTACAGCAACTCCCAACCAAACTGAAGTCACAAAAATGGAAGAAAAATGAAAAGGACAAGTAGTGTCACTTCAGCAGGACGTGGAAAAGAGGAATGTCGTGAGAGATGTCAATCACAGTTGATTTTTTCCATTTGTGAACTTGCTGAACAGGCACTTCTGACACCTGACATCTCTGACAGAACTGGCACAGCACAGGCCAGGCCTGTGAACTTGCAATATGTGCAATGCTCCAAGGACAGCATAGGACAGGGTTTTTCCTGCCTCCTTTCTCTGCCATTTAGGAGCAGAGAACTTGGCACAACAACAGCAAGCTTTAATCTTTGGTTGCCTTTTGTGTCAGTTGGCAAAAAGTAACCCCTTTCTCATGCATTACTGTGGGGCTTAAAGGAGAAAAAGGAAAGAGCTTGGCATGGTGCTGGTCTGCAGGAGATTCACTAAATGCGAAGTCCCTGTTAGGCAGCTTAACACCATGGTGAATGGCAATGATTTTTGAGGCAGCATGCTTGGGTTTGAATTCTGTCAATCAACAGGACAGACAAGCTCACTACCCTGTACCTTTGCTTTTTTCTCTTAGAGAAACTATACTAATATCTACATCATGAATGCATAAGTAACTGAATTACGGTACTCAGGGCTACCCTTGAAAAATGAAAACATTCTTATTAGGTCTCGTTGCCTTCCTCGACATGTCAATTCACGGTTGTCTTGCTCTTGTGATGTTAATGCACTGATACTTTGATAGCCATCTTCATTGATCTTTTATCTCTAGAATCCGAGACTCGAGCCTGTTATGATAGGGTTTAGAGTGGGGAAGAGAAGACAGGGCATGGATAGCTGGACCGATTCTGTTCATCTGGCTGGGGAGGCAGCTTCCATCAGGACCTGGAACCCTGACAACAGACCAAATGGCTGCCACAATGAGGTTACAGTGAGCCTGTCATTATAGCAAGCCATTCTGAGAGTAGCCCGAGGAACTTATTGCTACTCCAGGAGACGCTGGACTTTTCAACTCAAGGCTGTTTCCAAGAATAAGACAGACAAGTTGATGAGAAAAGTCCTGAGCACACCTTCCACGATGCTCCTGAGAAGAAACTGGGGCGCTTTCTTCATGGTAGCATCCGCAAGCTTGCATTGGCCTCAGAGCCAGCTGGGGGATTTGCTCCAGCTCCAGCTCCCCTCCAGGGGTGGGGATGCAGCATTTCTCACATGTTCCAGGGTGGGGTTGAAAGGCTGTTGGTCCAGAGACCACTCTCTGAGAGGAGTGAAAGCTGCAGGGGCTGTCACTGTAGGCCCAGCAGGAGGTACATTTCAGGCTGAAGTGTTCCTGATTTGGGGAGCAGGTGACAAAAAGCAATTTCTTGGTGAGAAGGTCTGTAATTTAACACTGGGCATTGTGGCCTGTGAGCCACTGGCCATAGCAGCAATCTCGGACACAGCAGGCCAGACCCCAGCTCTACATGCCCAATGTTATGGTCTCAAAATGAGTTCTCAGATCACCTGGGGATGGAGACAGAAGGAAGCACATATTGAAAATGTGCCACATGGTTGGCCATGGGCTTTGGCACCTGTGTGGGGACTAAGGTTTTGGTTTCAAAGTCTCTGTTTCCAGGAGTCAGTTTTTATTCCTGCATTTTCATACGCTGGCATGGAAATTCAGGACTTGTCCCTAGTCCAGTGCTATTTTGGCTAAAAAAGAGAGACTCCATGGTTCCTTAGGCCAGGGCTGAATCTAGGCTCTGTTATGTACTGGTTGGGTCCTGAGTCAAAAACACATCCTCCTCTTCACCCCCCACCTTGAGCATCAGTTTCTTTATCTGTTCAACAGATGAGGCTCAAACATGTGACCACAGTGCCTGGCACATGGAAGGCCCTTGGAAGGTGTGGACTGTGGGGTATCAAGTCTTCCAGTTCACTTTCCAGAATTCTGATGCAAGGACAAGCTTGAGCCCTGTGTCTATCAAGAGCTCTCTGTGCACCAGTTCCTTTATCCACCCAAAATGGGAGACACGAGGAGCACTGAGCTATTAAACGATCAATTTACATCACCGAGTCATTTTCTCTAGGGTTTCGGGAAACCCTCCAGGAATTCTATGGTGGTAAACCTGAGTTGTCAAGACGATGATCTTGACAATAAAACTCAGACTACCTAGGAACATAAGCCATGTTGGCTATTTCCCCTCTCTTGCTTGAAACCAGAAGTAGGCAGGAGCAGAGCAAACAAACTCTTGAACTGCTTTGCTGGGAGAACCAGCAGGAACCCTGCTGTATTTGGAGTGCTCTAGGTAACACTGCAATCCATCCCCAGGACATGGAGCCCAGTTGTACCTCTGCACTTTTGTAGGTTCCTGTGGGATGTTGGGGACTAGGAAAAGAGGAAAAGGAGGGTTTTGTCTGCATTTCTCACCCAAGCTGTACACATGGACAGGCTGGCTGCTTCACCTGCTGGGAACAACTACAGCATCTGCTTGATGAATTCAGTAGTTGAGGTGACAACCCAGGTGACAGAGGCCCAGGGAACTGGCAGAGGCCACCCCCCAAAAGCATTTACAGAAGGAAACTTACTTGTCAAATGAGTGAGTAGAAAAGCACAGAACAGAGAATTCAGAGCCCAAAAGCAGTAAGTGCAACCATCTCTCCTCCCATTTGGACCCAATGAGGGTGTCATCCATGGGTAAAACCAAGTATTGGACTTGGGGCGGACAGGACAGAGAGGATTCAAGGATATCATGCAAGGTGAATGATGACTTTAATGGCCTGATGCCAGCTGCCAGCTCCTGGTACAATAGCTCTGGCTTTTTCCCAGGAGAGAAAAGAGCCTGGGGTCCCCAGAGGACAGCATGAGGGGCACTCACCTGAACGTGAAGAGGGTCCCCATGTCCAACATCGACAGCAGCTCTGCTTTCGACTTGGGGAAGGACAGCCGGTAGCGCAGCGTCTCAAATGCAGGAACAATCATTGCTTTCTTGGTGTTGGCAAGGTCAAGCTGGAGGACAGACTTCCTGAAAAAGGGGGGTGGCCAGAAAAACAGGGTCCCTGTGATGCCTAGCTGAGAGCTAAACCCATAAGGGTGGGATTTTGGCTGCCTCTGGTGGGCATGTGAGAGAGCCTCAGCCAACCAGCTCAGTTCTGGAGGGCAAGACCGGGACAGGTGCAGCTATTTGCCAGACCATCCAGGGAGCCCAGTGGAGAGCCAGCACCTGCTGTCTGTTAGCCAGAGAGCTAACAGGTTAGACCAGAGGAGCCAGGAGCTGATTCAGGTGCAGGAAGATCACAAAGAACTTCCAACGTTGCTCCTCCCATTGTACCATCAGCCATACAGGAGCAAGACAGAAGCAGACGACAGGATTGCCAGTCTGGGCACTTCCAGGTGTCATTTCTGTGACTTCTCCACTCCTGACCCCTCTGGAACCCAGACCACCCAAGGAGGCAGCCCCTGACTGTATGAGACACAGAGCTCTGCTGGTGGAATGTTTTCCATCATCTCACTGCCACTTGGAGACCCAGTTCCCACCATTCCCCTGTTTGATGGCCATCAGGCGGAAAGAGAGGCTCGGGGAGGGCCACGTCGCTGAGGCTTTTAATGAACGTGGACTGCATTTTCATTCTGGCAATGCCACATTATGAGCCTTGCCACCCTAGCCAAGTCATTTAGTTTCTCACTGCTGTGTGCTTCTCCCCCTAAAATGGTGGCAATAACAGTCACCTCCTGGAGCTGCTGTGAGGGATGAATATTGCAATGCCACACTGCTTGGCACACCTGGCATGTGGCAGGCATGCAGCGACAAATGGTTGCTATCATACTGCAGTGCTAGCACGACTCCCCGGCTGGATTCTTACCATCTTTTTTGGCTACAACCTTGGTACTTTATTCTGGCTTTCTGCTGAGAACGTCTTGATGCCATCATGAGCTGTCTGTTTCTACCTCCCAAATATAGAAAGCAGCCTGGCTTGGGGTAACGGCATGTGCTGGAAGGCATTTCATTAAAAAAAAAAATAAGAGCTACAACCTCCTATAGGCATACAACTGCCTGTAGTTGTACCAATAAGACCACTTCACTCCACAAAATCTTGAGCTTGTGAATAAGCAAGGACTAAGGCTGTTCTGCAAAGTTACACAAAGAAGAAAATGTGTTGGCACAGGCCAGGATGGTGGTAGTGGGGGTAGCAACAGAGTGCCCAAGAACTACATGGGCAGGGCTTGGCATGGAGGGTGAGGGGACTCTGGGGCAGGTCAGGGTAAGGATAAAAACAAATCCTGGGTTGAAGGTTCCACCAAGGTCGCAGGGAAGAGAAGGTAGCTGGGAGATGGAGTGGAAGTTCATTTGGGAGCCTCTGTATATCATTTGTAATCCTCTCTTTGTTACTAGATGTAGTGAGCTATCTACTGGATGATACACAGCCCCGTGTCACCATCCCACAGCAGGTTTGTAAAGGGTGGCAGCAACAGAATATGGGACAGCGATCCTTAGCCAGCCAGAGGGCCAGTGGTGTGAGTCAGCTTGTCCTGACCTCTTTGTCTGGTAGAGCAGCAGCAGTTTCCAGACCTCTAACATTCCTTCCTCCACGCCAGGCACCTCCGTCCAGCCACTACTTTCTCTATCATCAGCATTGCTTCTTATTTTTTATTGTCTTCCGGAATACAGTCTCGTATGTATAGGGATTCACCTCTCTCCCTCTCCTCTCTTGTTCCCCTTCCACCATTCCCTCCTTTGCCCCTAAATGATCACAATAGTATATAGTCCCCTAGTACAAGTTTACCTTTTGTATCATGACATGATAAGTACAGATAAGGGTTAAAAAAAACCCCTAGCATTATAATGTAGAAGTGTGTTTAGCAATTTCATTGGGAGTGCACCAATCAGAAGTAATCCCCCCTCCCCCGATGGTCATGATACACAGGAGCGGGTCCCCTAGCTCAGGCTGTCCCACCTAAACCCATAGCCAGGACGGTCATGCAGGAGGAGACACCTGACTCAAGTTGAGCTAAGCAGTTTCTAGCCTTTTGATTCTGTAAGATACACTAGTCATTTTTTTTTGGGGGGGGGTAGTAATTTCCTGTGATTTTTTGTTGTTTGCAGTAACTCAACTAACACTGGTTTCTGTTGCTTGCAACCCAACAGTCCTACCCTATACACTGCCAGACCTAATGTGAAGACACAGCCCCTGGGAGCAGCATGCCTTACAAATGCAATGCTGGCAAGCCATGGAGCCTTCTGCATGGACAGCAATGGGTTCTGGGGTGCTCCTCTCCAACTTCCCCCTTTAACCTCCCTGAAGCCCTAACTGCCACCAAGACAGATCTATCCCCACACAGGCCCATAGCAGACTCCATTTAAGTAAATTTCATTATCGATGTTGCGAAAGGACCTCATTATGACGTCATCTCAGCAATGGAGTTCTCAGCTTATGGCTTGCTGACCCGGGGGTGTGGTGGAGGCAAGAATGTGCTGCCATTACTTTGCTGGAAAGCAGCTCCTAGGCAATGGAGTGCTTCTGCTGCAGACTCCCCTGGGGCAGTGAACAGTAGGGCAAGACAGGAGGCTGGGCCGAGAGCAAAGTGACCTGAATTCTGGGTCTAGCCCAACCAGCTAAGTGCTTCTGGGTCACCTCATTCATCTCTCTTCCATTGCTACACAAACATGGTTACAACGGAAGTTTTTCGAAGGCAGTTGCTGGGGTGGTAATGAGACAAGCACAGTCTTGCTCTCTGACAAACCAAAGTAGGAGAGCAAGTGTTCGGCACGAAGCCTGGTGTGTGCTAAGCCTGGAGTCCACAATGATTGGCACCTGTGTCTGTTAATCTGATGTGCCCGCCAAGCTGGGCAACAGTGCCCAGTTGTTTGGTTAAACACCAGTCTGGATGTGCTGTGAAGGCATTTTTGTAGATGCAATGCACATCGGTGATTAGCTAACTTTAAGGAGATTGCCCTTGACTGTGTGGGTGGGTTCATCAGCTAGGTCAAGGCATCCCCTGTGAAAGAGGCATCTGCCTAGACTGGCACAAAAACCCTGCCTTGAGTTTCCAGCTGGCCGGTCTGCCGTGTGGACTTTTGACACAGTCCCCCTGTGACTGTGTGAGTCAGTTTCTCTCCATCTATCTCTATAAATACACTGGTATCTTTAAATATGCACATATCGAATATATATCCAAATGAAGGCACAGTTTGTAGGAGATGGGACTGAAGATGTTTCTTTTGGTGCAAACATGTTTTGAACCCCAGGCATGCCAAGGGGTATTCAAAAAACTCACAGAAAATGAAGTTCTAAGTTTCGGGCACCATTTAATTTTTCCAAGAGTTTTTCAAGTCCCTTCATATACCTTCCATTGGTTGAGTCTCTGGGGGGAGTGCTTACTGACACATTGCCCTTACTTCTTGATCAAGACCACTGCGGAAACATTCATGCTACCAGAATAGTCCATGCAAAGAAACTCTCAAGTGTCTATCTTACTAACCCTGGTCTCTGATGATACAACTGAGAGCCCTGCCAATCCCTCCCTCCTGTCCTCTGCTCTCAAGTGCCATGCAGAACCTCTCCTCGGCACAGGTCCCCATCTGCAGATGGAGTTCACGATGGTTCTGTGTCCTAGCTCCAGGCTCTAGAGTCTAAGAGAGTACTGGACTTGGAGTAAGTAACATATGTTCCCTTTTCCCTTCCAGGGTCCAGCTAACTAGTGGGCCCACGGCCACAGCCTGAGCAAGCATGCAGGATTTGGGGAAAGACAGTCACCTAGCGCTCACAACTAAGACAGCGTTTTGGCCTGATTCTCTGTGGGAACATGGTGTTATCAAACATGTCTCCGGCCAGTCCTCCTGGCTGGTGTTCCTGACAGAGTCAACTCGGTTTCTTCAGGCTGGCGGGGCTGACCAGAGGGGGACCATGAGCCGGGCAGAGTTTATCTTCCAAGCCCCTAGTCTTCTATGTGTCTTCTCTCTCTGCCTCTCCTCTCGATCCACTCAAGAATGCAGACTTTGGAGACCTTTCAGTCCCCAACTGGTCCAACTGGAGAGCAAGGGAGGGCATCTAAAAGGGTGGTGAGGCGGGGGTGGGCAGCGGCTATAAGCTCTCCTGGGACTGACATCAGGATTGGGTAGCTAACACCCACTGTGAGCCAGAACGGCTTCTGGGAGCTTTTTCTGTCCCTCTCATGCATGTTCACAAACACACACTGCCTCTCTCTATGCAAGTTTTTTTTCACCCTGGAGACGAGGTTTTCCAGGGAAATGGCCCAGGTTCTGGTACGGACAGACAGATGATATTCAAAGCCACAGACTGAAAGTCATCACCAAGGGAACAAGGGAAGAGTGAGAAGAGAAGCAACCAGCAGGGAAAACTGGAAGGGACCGATGAGGGTGAGTAATCACCAGGAGACCACGATGTGCCGTGAGTGCCTACCTGGGGGGTCTGCCTGTGCAGATTCAGATCAGCCAACTGCAGTGTTAAAATATTCAGGAAAAAAAACATCTGCATCTCTGCTGAGCATATACAGAGTGTTTTTTTCCTCATCGCTATTCCCTAAATAATACAGTATAAAGACATGTACATAGAATTTCTAGCATATTCATTATTACAAGTAATCTAAGTGATGATTTAAAGTATAGAGAAGTGAGTTATATGAAAATGTTGTGCCATTTAAAATGAGAGAACTGAGCATCTGTAGATGTTTTGTATCTGCAGGAGGTCCTGAAACCAATCTCCAAGTATACCGAGGGATGACTGCGTTTCCATATTTGGAAGACTGAAAAAATGGAGGGCATCAAAGAGGAGACAGTGATGGTTAAGATGGGAACTGAGGGTTGACCACTGGACTTGGCACCGTGTAGGTCACTGGTGGCTTCTTCACTGATGGCTACCTGCAGCAGTGTCTCAAGCATCAGCCAAGCCCAAGCAGTGTACAGGTGAGAGGCCACTGGCCATAGCACTGGCATTGCGGTGGTATGGCAGAAATAGACCAGGTCTAATAAAGGCCAGGCTGTATCACCACTTAGGAACAGCATCT